GATGTAAGGCTTGGATGCAGCTGCTCGGTCATAGAAACCCATTCCATGAAGCTCTCTATGCACTGTTGTGCTAATCTGAAGGCCACAAGAAGTTTGGAGGTCTTTAGCTATTGACTCTGCAGACAATTGGTGACTTTTGCATACTGTGCTGTTCAGCATGTGCTGACCCCGTTCTGTCATTTTACTTGGCCTACCACTTCGTGGCTGAGTTTCTGTTGTTTCCAGTTGCTTCCACTTTGTTGTTATACCACCAACAGTTGACCATGGAATATTTAGTAGCAAGGAAATGTCAGGGATGGGCTTATTACACAGGTGGCAACTTATCATGGTACCATGCTTGAATTACCTGAGCTCCTGAGAGCGATCCATTCTTTCACAAATGTTTGTATAAGCAGTCTGTGTGCCTAGGTGCTTGATTTTATACACCTGTGGCCATGGAGGTGATTGGAACACCTGAATCCAATGATTTGGAGGGTGTCCCAATACTTTTGGAAATATAGTGTATGTATTTGCAGCCATTGTTGAATTAATAGGCCCATAGCCATTTTGCTAAGATTGCTGTCCATTAGTAGTTTACAGGTGTGAATACCCACTTAGAAAAAGGAAAACCATTGTTTATCTTTCTCCTAGGTATGGGAGCATAGCGTCATATTAACGTTCATGATTCACATGGGAATACTGTACACTTATGCAAAGGGCCGTCTGAACCCGCATGGGAGTCACAGGTGTTCCATGCAGCCACTTGCAGACAGTCTGTGCTAATCAATGCCAAGCGGATAGGTGCACGGGTTTCCAATCCCCAAATGTACATCTGTGAGGGGCAATGCATGGATCAGAACACAGACAGACTGAATTTTGATCCATGCAATGGCCCTGCATGAATGTGCACTCGGGTGTGTTTGGAAATGCGTGCAGCTGTCAGCCTGTCTTTCTTTTGAATACCTGTGCCTCCCATGCAGGTAGACAGCCTTTTGCATGGGTGTACGAAACAGTACACTTGTGTGAGTGAGACCTTACAAGCATGAAGTACATATAAGCAAATTTTAGTGGTACATTTTGCAGATAAAAAATACATGCAAAATGCATATCTATGTAAGATTTTATGTGATTCTTTTAATTTTCCATTATAAACACAGTTATTGTTTGAATGTTCCCTTTTTGACATATATTACCTTATATTTCTGTATACTGTGAATCTTCTCTCTCATCATGTGTAACCGTAACCATTATTATTTTTATGTCATTACTCAAAACATCTATAGAAAAAAAAAAATCACAGAACTTTATCTAGTATAGAGGTTTTGATTGAATGTTGTCTTGTGTTGTATTTTATAGCTAATGAAAATAGGACAAGATGTTGAAATTCTTCTCCGAACAACTGTTATTCAAGGTGTTCACGGTGATTCAGATCGAATAGGTAAGAACAGGAAAACTAGTCACTTTTTCCCACATTGCAGACAGGAGTCTGTGGGCTTAGACTCTTAATATTCAGAAGAATATATTCGAGAGCATAGGAACAGAGGATGAGGCAAAGGGCCAGAGTGCGGAAAGAGAACAGAGGGAACAATGATCAATGAGAGGTGGCACAGTTGTTAAAGAATATGTAAACCCAAATTTTCATTTACCTGATCTGTGCCTGCTGTACCATGTACTTGTATGAAAAAGTATCCTGTTCTCTTTGTATTGCTTCCTTTTGTGTGAAACCCCTGGTGTTTCTGCCAGTTTCTCTGCTTTCCTATTAAAAACTGACCACACTAGGCGTGAGAGCACAGCATGGTCCGTTGTCTAGCTGTGCTGGGAGCTAATACAATGATCAGGCTTGTGCTAACACGCTCCCCCCGCACAGCCATTCACTGGGAAGATGGGTGTCCCGCTGTTCCTCCTCCCCCAGCTCCTGCAGCTGAGAACAGAGGATATTTGATCACTTATAAAGAAGGGGGACAAATGTATTTATAATGTGTATTATATTTATTATGGTTCACTGAAATTTCGGTGGTCAAAGGTTTTTGGTCAAAAGCCCCCCAGTGTTCAAAGCACACATGGGAGGTGTTGCTAGTAACATCAGAGCAACAGCAATAATTCTAGCACCTCCTCTGTAACTTTTAAACTGGCAACCTGTATAAATTTTTAAAGCGTCACCAACAGAGATTTTTAATTATCGTAGTTTGGCGCCATTCCACGAGCGTGCGCAATTTTAAAGCATGACATATTTAGTATCTATTTACTCGGTGTAACATCATATTTAAAAAAAAAAAATTGGGATCTATATCGTGTGGGTTTTTTTTTTTTTTTTAATCATTAAAGTGTATTTCTTTCCCAAAAAATTGCTGTGAAAAGTATATTCATTTTTAAAAACTATCCATTTTGGTTTTCAGCCAAGTGCATCCAGAATTTTTGGTTTCTGCACCAGAAATTCAATTTCGGTGCTTCAGTAACAGACACACACAGACACACAGACACACAGACACACACACAGAGACACACACACACCGCTGTCACAATTTGGAAAAAGCTTGGCCGTGCAGGGCTCCGCATACATAGCCGCAGCATTCATTCACAGTTTCTTTTGGATGACTCCGCTCCTCTTCCTCTTTCAGTTGGGGTACCCCAAGGTTCTGTTCTTGGGCCTCTCCTTTTCTCTCTCTATACCTCCTCCCTGGCTCCCTGGGCAAATTGATAACCTCCCATGGCTTCCAATACCACCTCTATGCTGATGACACCCAGATCTATATCTCCACTCCCCAGCTCACCCCCTCAAGCTTCCCACGTATCACAAATCTACTAAGCGACATATCAGCATAGATGTCACTTCACTACCTTAAACTCAATCTTTCAAAAACTGAGCTTGTAATATTTCCTCCTCCTCGATCCCCCACTCACCACTTTACGATTAAGATCAACAGCACTACCATTGGTCCTTCCCCTCATGCCAGGGCTCTAGGTGTAATCCTAGACTCTGACCTCTCCTTTGGGCCCCACATCAACTCACTGGCTAAATCCTGCCGCCTCAACCTCCAGAACATTTCCAAAATCCGCCCCTTCCTGACCAATGACACCACAAAACAACTTACCCACGTCTGCCTGCATCTGATTGCATGTTTGTTTTATACAATGTAATCTGGTTGCAGGGCTTTTCTAAGATTGGTGCAGTGGTGCGATTTGAGCCTATTCAAAATAATTGGGTTCAGATTGCACCTCACTAAATGCAGTGTGCTTCCTGTGTGATCATATGCAATTCATAGTGTGAACCTAGGCTAATAACCTAGTGTTACACTTGCACATTAATTGGCATCCATGTAATTAACATATAAAATTAGATCTGATGCTAGGTCTTCTTTTACCTAATGGATTAACTATTGGGATGGTTTTGGCAACAACAGTAATAGATGTTTGTTTTTAAAAATGAGAATTTTTAACAATATGAGAGGATAAAAAAGTTACTAGCAATATAGAAATTAAAGAAAAAAGCAAGACAAAAGAATGACAAAAATGTTAAATAGCCTTAGAAATCCCAGGCAAGCAGCTATTCATTTTAGCTTATAGCCTGCAAAAACTATTGTTAAAAACTACAAATTACAACTAATGAAGAGTGTATTAGTTTTAAAGAGAAACTATAGTGGTTTTCGATTTAATTTTTATTGACTGTTTAAAAATGGATATTTTCTTTTCTTTACATTTTTAGTTCTCTGCGGCCACGATATGATGTCCTTCTAGACAATGTACCATATTGTGATACACCAAAGAAATAGTTATCCTGCTGCTTTTAAAGGCTTCAAGATATCTTTATTAAGCTCCTTGCTCTTTTATTTCAGTGTTTTTTGGGGGGTTTTTTTAGACAGTTATTGTCATTTTAAGGATGCTTCTTATGCACCATTTGCCTGTAAAATGATAGTATTTTGTGATTAAATTATTTTTCTTCATGTGTTTTTGTCTTTTTTGTCTTTTTTTTTTTTTTTTTTTTTTTTTTTTTTTTTTTTTGTATGTTACTTTAAGTCCACTTGCCTGAAAAAAAATCTTGAAAAAAAGTAATAAAAAATGAAAAATAATAAAAAAAAATTAAAACAATATTATTATTTTTTTTCATACTGTCACCAATCAGTGTCCCTGATCACCGCCAAAATCTAGTGCAGCTGTACATGGTAACCAATCGGCTTCTAACTTCTTGTTCAATTAAGCTTTGACAAAAAAAAACCCTGGAAGCTTATTGGTTCCTATGCAGAGCTGCACCAGATTTTAAATTCTCTAGGTCTAGTAAATCAACCCCTTTGTGTTTTTTTTCAGTGCTAAAAAATGTAGTCTGTAGGTCGCAATGCCCTTGTGGCTTGCAATATACTGGACTCACTACTAGGGGTGTTACAGAATGAGCATGTACAAAAAAAAATAGCATAGTGCTGCACATTTCCCTTTTGATTTTGGTCTAGGAGAGACGGCCAAATGTCCAGTTTGCATGAGGGCCTAAGTTGTAAAAAGTATAAACATTATGAAATAAGTCCAGTTGAATGTTGCCAACTACTACTATAAATTATGCAAAATAAATAGCATAACAAAGGGGGAAGCCTTTCCTTTGTAGTACTTAAAGTGATTGCACCGGGGTCTTCACATTTCAGTCCCGTCTACTAATAGGCAAAACATTTTCACCTGCTCTTATCACTTTGACTCTCACCACCAAAAAGCACAGCCTTCTGCTTCCTTCCCTTATAATCAACAGATGCAGGGAAGTGGTATGATGTAACTAAGTGTTCTTCAACCCTACCACTGAGCCCAAGATGGTTTTTCCAGGAAAATCCTTTCTGTCCTGCTACACACACCCAGGTAACTCCTGCCTGCTGCAGTCAGCTAAAATTGATGATTTATTCCACTGCTGTAATTAATACGGAAGGCATGCCTAAGAACCTCCTGTGGTCTATCGGAATAATAAGTGCTGCTGGCATTGTATCATCCAGGTATGAAGAGAAACATACCAGGTAACTTTTGCTTTCACCACCAAGATTCAATAATAATTAATACATAAGGGCATCTCTGTCTTGCAATCCAATCATGCTCCTTTTGCTGCGCTGTATTGTAACTTGGGAACATTTGGCAGGTACATTTTTATTCTCTAAATCATCAGTCTTTTGCAAATAAAACTGTGTGGCCAGTTGTCTTGTCATGATCTTTAGGACAAAGAATGAGACAAGCAGCTCCATGTTAAGAAAAATCACATAGATTACATGTACTGCTAATTCCAGAGGCAGTATCAGGATCTTTTCATCTGTCAAAAGGAATAAGAAAAGAGGCATCTGAATGAGGAAAGTAAGAAGCAGAAATCCAGCCAGTTCCGGCACCTGGTTTAAAGAGAGAATACAGGCTTACATAGTATACACAATATGGAAATTGGTCATTGAAGCAAAACTCCAGACAAAAATAAGATAAAAAATTAATGTCCCCTTAAAAGATAAAGTAAAAAAACTATCTTTTGCTGCAAACTTCACCTTTTAACCTAGAGCTTTCCACCATAGTACTTTTTTCTGCTGCTAAATGTCTTCAGTCTAATAACCACCATCATTCAACCCACTTGCTCAGAGTTCAGGTCGGCCTCAACCTGCCCCAGCCTATGACTGGACAGTGAAAGGAGAAGTAGCACCATCATGAGCTCATTTCTTTGTCACGCTGCTTTCCCTGCCCTCTAGCATGCTTCATGTCATGTCATGTTCTTCTTCCTCTAATACTCCAGCCTTTCTGTACAGGAATTGCAAGAGACTGGTGCCAGGTAAATGTATTATATAATAATGAGCTTCATTAATATGTGTTTTTTATATCTGCCTAGAGTTTCGTCCCAAATATAGGTCTTATCACAAGTGAAGGGAATGCATAGGAGGGGGGGTGGGTTATTTACTAAAACTGCATGGTGCAAAATCTGGTGGAGCTTCGCATAGAACCCAATAGGCTTCCAGGTTTTATTGTCAAAGCTTAACTGAGCAAGCTGAGGTTAGAAGCTGATTTTTTATATTTTCCAGATAAACAAGCAAAAGAGATTTAAATAATTTTTAACAATATGTGTTTTTGTATCATACTAGTTACACTGTACATGGGGCAGCTATATTTGGTACTTACAAATCTAGACTTTGCATCTTACTTTCCATTGCTACACAGTCATTGTGCTTTACTGTTGCTGAGCTACATACTTTCCCAGATAACTTTTTTAATCAGTCTTTTTATAATAAAAATATTCCTTGCAAAAGGTGAAGTGGATGGATTAGCGTACATCATCGTGCAGGCAGTCCCATTTTTGCCAAATGGGACACAGCAGTTGTGCATGTATACGGCTGCTGGTCCCATTTTGACATCCGTGTAGGTGTGTGTCCCTGAATGTAGACAGTGTGGGGTTTATTTACTAAAGCTAGAGGGTGAAAAATCAGGCTCACTTCTGCAAAGGAAACCAATCAGCTTCCAGGTTTATTTACTAAAGCTAGAGGGTGAAAAATCAGGCTCACTTCTGCAAAGGAAACCAATCAGCTTCCAGGTTTATTTACTAAAGCTAGAGGGTGAAAAATCAGGATCACTTCTGCATAGAAACCAATCAGCTTCCAGGTTTATTTACTAAAGCTAGAGGGTGAAAAATCAGGCTCACTTCTGCATAGAAACCAATCAGCTTCTAACTTCAGTTTGTTCAGTTACGCTTTGGCAATAAACTTGGAAGCTGATTGGTTTCCATGCAGAAGTGAGCCTGATTTTGCACTCTCCAGCTTTAGTAAATAAACTCCTGTGTGACATGCACACATGTCAAATTGGGGCCAGCACCTGTGTCCATGCAGCCCCTACATCCCAATTGACATGAATGGGACTGCTTGCACACGGAGGAACACTTGTGCATCCCGCGCAGGCAAAGACGGCCCTCGCACAGGTGTAACATTTGTTACGCCCCATGTGAACAAGGACTAACACTACCCTCTCCAGATTGCCAATGCTGCTGTCCAAATGTGTTTCTGTTGGTCCTCCATATGGGATAGAGACACCCTATGACAGGAAATATGTTACTGGTCAGATCCTAATGTGAAAAGAAGGGGAAAAAATTCCAAAAAAGGGAAAATGAATGTAGCCACCATATTTAAGGATTGGTAAGCTGCAATATATTACAATTTATGTTTTAGATTAATTTTGCTTAAAGGTAACAGCAAGACAATTTCAGCTTACCTTCTCATGTAAATTTCCAATGTAGCCCAAGTAAAGTCTCAGGATTTCAATTACTGTGATAATTGTGACAGCTGTGACTAAGAGAAATTGATAGTAACCTGGAAGCAAGAAGTACTGCAGAAACAGAAGAGAGAAGATGGCGTTTTATACCTAATTAGTGTCTACAAGCATTACACTTCTTCTTCATTTTTTTTAAAATTGCTGCAAAAAGCAGTGGTGTACCTGGACAGCATAAAACACTTTATGGAAAAATGTAGACTTTGCAGCCAGTCAGGCGAATAGTTGAGTGTTCTGTGCAAGGCCGTCTTTTACTGCCTATTGTCTATTGGGACAAACGGCTGCATTGACATAGCTGACACAGTTGCATTCCTGAACACACATGAACACACATATGATGTGTGTTCAGGAACCTGCACCCACATGTCACATTGGGACAGAGACTGTGTCTGTGCAGCTTCGTGTCCCAATAGACAACAATAAGATGCCCGTACGGGGATGCATGCAACACCTGTGCATCCTCATGATGGTAAAAAGTGGCCCTGTACAGGGCATGCACCTAATCACCTTGTCTGAACAGGGACATATACACTCACCGGAGTCTTTATTACAGTAGGTACACCTGTTCAATTGCTTGGTAACACAATTTTCTAATCAGCCAATCACACAGCAGCAACGCAATGCATTCAGGCATCTAGACGTGGTGAAGACGACTTTCTGAAGTTCGAACCAAGCTTCAGAATGGGGAAGAAAGGGGATTTAAATGACTTTGAACGTGGCATGGTTGTTGATGCCAGACGGGCTGGTCTGAGTATTTCATAAACTGCTGATCTACTGGGATTTTCACGCACAACCATCTCTAGGGTTTACAGAGAATGGCCCAAAAAAGAGAAAATATCCAGTGAGTGGCAGTTGTTTGGACAAAAATGCCTTGTTGATGTCAGAGGAGAATTGTCAGACTGGTTCAAGATGATAGAAAGGCAACAAGTAACTCGTTACAACCAAGGTAAGCAGAATACCATCTATGAACACACAACACTTCGAACCTTGAAGCAGCAGCATCAGACCACTCTGGGTGCCACCCCTGTCAGGTCCAGGAAGGTTCTGGTTCACTTATTTACCTACAGGTTTAGCGCAATGGGCTTGATTTACTAAAGGCAATTAGTACACTGCAAGTGTACTGAAAGGGCAGTTGCTCTAGTTCTGAGGGGAATATGCAAGTAAAATAAAAAAAACAGTACTTTTGCTTGCACATAATTGGATGAAAGAAAAGAGTTTCGCCTCATTTTATAGCTTCCCCTCGAATCTAAAGCAACTGCACTTGTAGTGTGCTTGAAGTGCACTTGCAGTGCAGATGCACAGTGTATTTGCTCTTATTAAATCAACCACAGTATCTGTAACAGAACTGACCCAGCCTGCGCTGAGTACTTCCGTTAGAATACTGCTTCCCTGTCCAAACACCGACAACAGACACCACGGCCGACCACACTAGACTAGACGACACCAGTCTTGAAGTAAACCAGGAGGTAGACTACTTTATTTGAACACAGATACAAGATATGTACACTCAGGGGACAAATCCCCCCTGCCTGCATAATGTCACAGGGTGGGGCAATCTACATTTAGTAACAAGAGACACACAGGTATTCAAACTTCACACCAGCAGACAGTCCCATCAGGACGGAGGGCTGCTGGAGAAACCCCCCCCCCCCCTAAGCTAATACACATAAACACATACATCCCATAATATGCAATGAAATTCCTCCTACGCTGCTATGGACACCAAACCCTACCCTACAGCTGCTAACACTCAAACTGATACCAAAACAGTGAAATGAATAATATATAAAATAGTGTAGCGCTTAAATACTAAACCACCATTAATAGTGAATCATAGGCAAATCAAATCTTAATGTGAATAGTGATATAAAAAAAAAACACATAAACTAGTGTGATAAATCATAAAGTGACAGGGTCACCTAGGTGACCTAAAAAAGTGCCAACAAATGACTCGACAATATATACAAAGACATAATGTGATAGTGCAACTTCAAATCTCATAAATGAATCAAAATAAGTCCAGTAAATATGAGTATGTAAGTGATACAACATACACATGCAATGTGCAAGTCGTGCTAAATCGTGTAAATGCCAACACACTTTTCCACTCCAGCAGCAGTGCCTCCTCACCTCCTTTCTGCGACCCCTAAGAAGTAAATAAAGTGTCTTATTAGTTATTATTTACATCTTATTAAAGCTGCAGAATCATTATTTTAATGAGGAAGTCACGAGACTACATGATGTAACGTGTAGGTACGCTGATACGCAGCTTCCGGTTTTGAAGCGACGCACTTCCAGTAGGGGACGCCATCTTGAAAACTCCTAGGAAGTACCACGTGGATGCAGTTTACCCACACACAGAGGAGAGGGAAGGGGATGTATCTAAATGTGAGTGTACTTCTTAGCTAAAATAAAGAACTGCTTGCTTGATTTACTACACTATGGAGGATCTCTTTTTTGCTCACTAATATGTGAGTGAGATTTCACAAAATACCTGCTTAGAGGGTCCTAAAGATCTCAGAGGAGAAATTTTGGATGAGGCTTAATAAGAAAACAGCTTGAGAAGGAGATTTGCCAGCCGGGATTGTTGAGGATCCAGGGTGATCCTGAAGGCTTTCTGGCCCTTAGGGGTAGCAGAAAGGAGGTGAGGAGGCACTGCTGCTGGAGTGGAAAAGTGTGTTGGCACTTACACGATTTAGCACGAATTGCACATTGCATGTGTATGTTGTATCACTTACATACTCATATTTACTGGACTTATTTTGATTCATTTATGAGATTTGAAGTTGCACTATCACATTATGTCTTTGTATATATTGTCAAGTCATTTGTTGGCACTTTTTTAGGTCACCAAGGTGACCCTGTCACTTTTTGATTTATCACACTAGTTTATGTGCTTTGTTTTGAATATCACTATTCACATTAAGATTTGATTTGCCTATGATACACTATTAATGGTGGTTTAGTATTGAAGCGCTACACTATTTTATACATCCCATAATAGTTTGCTCCCAAGCCAGACACACAATAGAACAATGGGATGCAACCACATGACATTAAACAATCCACAACCCCCACCCCACCTATCTCCTAGACATGTCTACACAATATTAGGACAGATCGCCCTGTACCCCTAACAGGCACAGGGTGATTTACACATAAGAAGGATATGGGGAGCTGAGACAGGGGTTTCCCCACCTCTCCAAAGTAAGCTGGGTTCTATGGCCCCCCCACCCAAAGTGACTCCCATCACAGTATCCTGTTTGAGGAGGGCCAATTCTTATACCACTCCAAAAAATAAATAAATGAAAGGGCTTCACTTATTACACTGTATAAGGAGACAAAAAAAAATAAATGTTCACTTCATACTCACCTTGAGTTCCAACATGATAACCTCAGATATGAACCAGAAAGGAAAGAAGAATACATTGAAATATAAAGCCATCTGGAGGGGAACACTTGACAATACTTCATGGCCTATAGAAACACATAACAGAGTTTATTGTAAAATATTTTATTTTCCTGTGACCCTTTAATTTTAAAGGGTAAGTCTGCTTTCATAAAAAAATTCCCATCCTTTGTGTTCTTGTGGTGAAAACTGTGTGCTCCAGGTATGCCAATACAGACTAGTGGCCTGCCCAGGTGCATGCACTTTTTGGATGCAGACAGACAGTATTCACAGGCCTATGACATGTTTGAGTTTCCTTGGATCACCAAGACTCCACAGCTTGCAATCAATGTCCATACTTACTGTATGCTAGTAAGGCTTTCTTCCCCAGCCTTAGTGTACCTGTCATGTCCCTTTCATTCAACTTTAGTTCTTTCAGTCATTATGGCATTTTGACAATTGTGTAACTCTTCCCATATTCATATTATTACAGGTATGAACTCAATACAGTTATAAAGATATAATATTTTTTCCTTTTAGCTTGTCCTTTTAAAGTAAACCTGTCAATAGGCAGATACCGGAGCTGCTATCGCTGACTTCCTTGTAAAAAGGCTAATTGTCTAGTCGTTGTGTTGATTACCAGCTTCAGCATGTTGGGTCACCGGGTATGCAATTATTAGGAAAGCCAGAAAAATGTAAGGGTTCCTTGTCTGTATACTAGTTTTCAGTCCATGGTTCAGAATTTGGATACAAGAGGATCAATATGACAATCAGGTAACAGGAATTTTCTTCATTCAGTTCATTCTTCTATGTAAGGCTCACCTTACACATTACAACCTGACCATACAGTCTCTGTACAATCACCCTTAGATCTACCAAAAATTTAATAAAAGGACCTACCTAAACTATCCAATCAATTTATCCAGTCAGGCAGGCCCGTGCACTACATACTTTTTGGTAGATCTAAAGGAGACTGTACAATAAAATTGTAGAGCTTATAGAGCTGGAAAAAATAATAGTCCTTTATATAGTAAATTAAATCATATTGTAGATAAAATAAAATTGTTACCTGTGTGATATGATCGATGTTCTCCACAATCTGTGGTTTTGTTTTGAATAAATAAAGATCCACTTATACTGGCAAGGCCATGACGAACATTGCTTGGCAGAGGGGTATGTAGAGGCATAGTCACTTCTCACACCACGCTTGTGGTTATACTCTGATCAGACAGCAGGTTTAATACCAGGCTCTCCTAATTGTAAAGTCTTAATGGGATTTCCAGAAGCATGCTGCACTAGAGGATTAGCCAACTGCTACTTCCATGTCAAAATAATCCCCATAAAGGCTGTGTAAAAAAATTAACAAAAGAACATTTAAAAAATGTACCCAGTGATCCTTATTTGTTTCTCCTACCCTGAATCTATTTAAAACGTGATTTGCCAAAAAAGTATAATTTCCGTATTTATAGGGAATGTGGTCACTACAAGCACCCCTGGAAGTCAGATGGAATAGAAACTTTCCTGTACAAGTCTGAAAGTTTGAATAAACATGGGCTAATTTAAAAATAAAAATCCTTTTAGGGCCCATTTAGATCTATGCATATGAGTAAAGGTGCATATTTTTTTTAGCATGAGGCAGGTGTATTGTAATACATCAACCTGCAATTACTTTGTGTGTTGACATGTGTTATTGATACATGCTGAGTTGCATTTCCAGTGCATTTTTGAAGTTAGGATTGGTAGTGGATAGAGTTACCAGACATTGACCATTGTTTGTAACAATAAGGGCAAATGGAATAGGTGCCATGGACCAGCCAAAAGATTGGAGGATCCTCCGGTGGGTTTCTGCTGTCTAAGCACTGCCTCCTAAGTCCTAGGCCAGTAAACCTTCAATTAAATAAGCAGAAAAAAGACAGATTCCTTCATAGCAACATACTCAAAAAGGCGCTGGGAATTTGACTTGCACGTGTAGTCAGATGAAGGAAAACTTAAAAAAAAACTCAGAAGCCATGGTGAGGCAGTTCACAAACAGTAAGGCTTCCCTCTTTTTGGATACTTGACAGTAGCTCAAACCATACATATACAGAAAGGAGCACCACAATAAAACTGGAAGAAAGAGTCCAAGATAGTTTTAACTGTTAGTAAAAAATAATAATTTTAATTCACTAACGCTTTTTTCGGGACAACACCATTTCCCTTCATTGGGGCTCAACAAGGGATAAAACTTGGATGGATTTTCAATTTTGCCGAAACTTCGGCAGCTGTAGTTTGAAGTAGCAAGGTACATTTTAGTAACTTTAAAATACTTGATGGCTTGAGTACATGGTATATTTTTATTAACAATGTGGAATTCTCCTCTTCACTTGCTTTGTATCCCTGTCTGACAGGGATAAGTTTTTTACTGCAACAAGTCTTGTGCAACCGACAGTCTAATCCCTAGATGTTATGACTGCTGTGGTGCAGGTTAGTAGCTGAGGGCAGCCAGTGCCTTCCTTACTGATATTTGTGTATGGATTGGCAGTCCTTCTGTGGGCCTCCTAAAGATGTACTCTACCTCCTGGTATTTCTTACTGCCGATTTGCTGCAAAAACATTGCTTACTGTCCTGAGCCATTAGTTTGCCACCTCATCCTTGTGGACAGCCTTTGCCAAGAAGGTAAGCATTTTCTTTCAGGCGTATAGGAAGCTCACTAATAGGCTCTTTGCCAGTTGGCCCTTCAAGAGTTAAATGCATTATGCATACCCTAAATTGAGCCTGTGCTTGAAAAACAAAAATTTGTATGAATCGTGCTTTGCTTAAGCAGCCAGGAATAAAGATGATGACATCCAAAAAGATGTCACATTAATTAAGCATGTGGTCAAGATAATCAAAAGGAATTGTTTCCACCTTCTGGAACCAGTCAACCAGTCTCAGGGCCTTCTTAGGCCAATCAACCATCTTCAGATGCTTCCAAAGAATAAGAAGGGGATGAGGCTGACCTATATGCAGGTTGATTTTAAGCTTGTATCTCCCTTTGTAAAGCTGATAAGGTGCCTTAAAATGGAAGATCCTGCAAGTTCACTACAAAGCAGCAGAATTATTTCAAGCACCTCCAAAAGACTGTGCAATTTCCCTATGGTGGCTGAATTAAAAACCCATTTTAGAAGAATGGCTTCAGGCTTGAGCCAGAGGCATCTTTTAGCAGCTGGATGTCAAAATTATGCACTTTTAAGGAAGAAGGTGTTCACTGTACACAGTTGGTTGATGGTGCCCTTACTAGAATAGCCAGACATAAACCTTTACCATTAAAGGATATACTTAATTGCTGTATTGATCTTAAAACGGGAAACTTCAACTGACAGCAAAGATCTGAGATTGTGGTTATTCTGGTTCCAGGCTCAGAATAAACATCCTGTGTAGTGTCCACTCTCACTGCATAGAATTTTGCTCCTGTAGTACTGGCTGGGACTCCAAGAAGAACTGGAAAGCAAGTGAATCCTCATCCAAGAAGTCAGCAAAGAACTCTGCTTCAGGAAGCCAGAATATTTTCTGGTCTTCTGCAGCTTATGCCTCCCATACATGTTTTATGCGTGCTTAGCTGCTCCTCAGCATAAATGTACAGCCTTGTTCACAAACATTTGGACACATTTTTCAGGCTATGTTTGGGAGATCATTAATTCTTCATGACTTTGATTGTGCTGCAAAGAACTCCTTGCCCCTGTGACAACAGACTAGATCTCCTAACCTGATGTCAAATCTTACTTTACCAGAGAATGGTAATTCCAACCCTGGCAGCTGAGAGGTTTTAGGAAAGATACTATTTTTGCTCAAAGGGTTGCCTGTTTCCACCTTCCCATAGCTGTCTCTTTTCAGAAGTACCTCCATTCTTCGTGGTTCAAGACATTAAGCAACTTACATGAATGCTACAGGTGTACAGCTGACAGGTCAAGAAAAGGTTGTCTGACACCTACATAAGTCCCTGTGTATCAAATTCAATGTGGTTCAGAATATGGTATTTCTGCCACTAGAGCACATACCAGTGGTAAGATACTGGGTTGTACTGGATTTCCTCTCCACTTGCCAGCATTTGAATGTGTGATGATGACTGAAACCATGGCCTCTCCTGTCCCTATATTAGAGTGAGCTCAGTGGAAGAGGAACCTTTTCCAGAAAGGTTTTTCTCCAACAGTGAGCATGCACTAAACTATTCATATCTCACAGACAATGATAGGAACCCTTTGGTGGTGGATGTAGTAGGAAATCTCAGTTGCCAAATAGTGGCCCAAGTCAATAGTCAAAAAGTCAATAGTCAAAGTCAATGAATCATTTTGATTTCCAGCCAGCCTTTTGCTCTTCGTGCCTTCCGTAACTTGACAGTAGATTCCCAGTCTTGATAAGGCTGGACGACATGACAGTAGTGTACTACATCAAGAGGGAAGTTGGAACCAGCAGTATTAGTCTACTGAGGGAGGTAAAGTTGATAATGAACTTGACAGTAGATTCCCAGTCTTGATAAGGCTGGATGACATGACAGTAGTGTACTACATCAAGAGGGAAGTTGGAACCAGCAGTATTAGTCTACTGAGGGAGGTAAAGTTGATAATGACCAGAGCAGAGAGGAATCTCTTCAAAATTTCAGCAATTTATATGTCAGGAATTCAGAACTTCTAGAAGGACTCCAAATTCCGTATCCCAGTTTGGCAACAAGTGTTTCTACATTTAAACTTCTTCAAGTGGATTCTGTCTCTACACAGGAATTCAAAGTTAGATCTGTTGGCACCTCTTTACAATTGCGAGCTGGAGAGTTTTTCACAAGGGGTCTATGCCAGCAATTCCTGGACGCTGATGCTCTGACAGATTAGGAGAGATTTCCTCAGCTGCATGCTTTCTCTCCAGTCCTCACCATATTCACATTCGTATGACTGTAACACCCTGCTCTAAATGTCTAATGCAGAATGTTGAAGTCAACACAAGATGACAGTGTTCTGCAAAACAGTAGCAGCCACATGTTGAAGAATAGCCACATGGAACTTGTATGCTGAATTGCAGGACTTTACAATAGAACAGTGCACCTGGGAACTGCATTTCCCAGAGGAGCTGGCATGTGGGTGGGAGCATATATAACTCAAAGCCCGGGAGCCTGATCAGGAAGTGAGAGGGGAGAGATAGAGAGAGGCAGAAGTGTGCTCACGGCTGGAGTGCTGGACCAGGAGACAGAGTCAGAGAGGGAGGAAAGAAGCGGAAAGATTCTGCTGATTATCAGTCTTGCCACGCTGGCCAGTGAGGGAATATGTAAGCAGGAAACTAGACTAACCAGGACCGGAGAGTCTAAGGGGGCCCCACATCTGCTGGGAAAGACGGACCTCCGACACCATTAACAGGGTGAGAGAGTCCCATACACCCACTAACTGAGAGAACATTGACAATTTCATCACATCAGCTATCTACCTGCACATAGTTGCAAATATTGCACATAGTTACCCCAGTTTGCGGCCTAGTTCTCCCAGCTGTCATTGTTGGAACACATTTGCATTACAGTCTCATCATTCAAACTGACCGCAGGACACACAGCTGCAGGCCAGAATACAGCAGTGCCAACTGAAACATCAATTTATCCTTCCCAACTGAACAGGATTTCTACTACTGTTGCCTGTGGCCCTTGTCACCCAGAGAGAGAGTTGTTCTTGCTTACAGACACTTATGTCAACTGTTACACTTTACCACTTTAAATCTGTCCTTGTTTAGTGCCTTAAAGAGGACCCTACATCAGTTCACCACTATCAAGAGGAGAAGTACTTATTAACTATCATCTACACCTTAGATCATCTTCACACCAACTGGGCCCCAACTAGCACGCAGAAGACTCATATTGTTCTTAAAGGGACATTGGTTGATTATAGACGAGAGCTCTCTCCATTTTCAAATTTAATCTTTGCCATCAGGTTCTGAGGACCCACAGTTTAGCTTACCTGTTTATTGATAGTTGTTCTTGCTCGCTGGGAATTCAACAGTCACCTCAGTTGGAGGCAGAGAATAAATAAATAAATAATAAATAATATTTCTGAAAGCAGACCCGACAGCTAACAGTTACTGATATTTTATTGTGGATGCTGTTACTTTTACTTACAGTTCACAAGAGGGATTATATTGCTGCATATGTTAATGCTATTTTAATCTCTCCCTCTCTTCCGGTGCATTCCCCTCCCCT